CGGTAGGTGAGCGGTAGGTGAGATGTGGTAGGTGGCGGTGCCACATTACAAAATTGCCCTTTTACCTTAGTTCATTAATTGGGGGTCAAAATAACATATTGAAATCCTGTTTATTTTTTATAACTCATGTCCTGAATTTGTAGTTGACTTGCAAATTGTTAATTATTTAAGATTTATTTAGCAGACTTTTTATGTCATCATCGAATCCTACTGATGTAATTGTGTGGCATGCTCATATCATTTGGTCACATGCACATAAGTAAAAGGAGATGTGTGCAAGATGAGATGCCTCATTAAAAATGATTTAGCAGAGTGTGCCCTGAAAAATGTCTGTAGGTCGAACCGAATATAGCAACCTTGTGTTTTTAGAGGCAACAAATTCATGATAATATATCCAAAAACAAAAAAATCTGAAAAAGATGGCATGTGTCATCTCCTTTCTTGACTACTCATCAATCGTAGGACCATCATTTTCCGTTTACCATTCTTTCTATGAGCATGAATGAGTTCTTAATTTAATATGTGCAAATTCAAACATTTTAAAGCTGTAACAACAGCGGCCAGCAAACTAAATAATAAAAAAAAAGTAATCTTTGGAATATGCTATTAAAAGTCTGATATCACAGTCTAATTATTGCAAAGTTTCGATGGCAAAATTAAGACATTATTGATACCCCTCATGCCTCCAAGGGTGTAAGGACAATCGGGAGCCCTTTCTGGGGCTGCAAGGTAATCCTGTCTGCAGGCATGTGTTTGTAATCTGGAGAAATTGTGAACGAGAACCGCTGCAGTATCATACAGAGCACTGTCTTGGCTTCCGTTAATGCAAAATTCTGACCGACACAGGCTCTTGGTCCAATGGAGAACGCCATCATTGCATTAGGATGCTTTGCAGCCTTTGAGACTCCATTCTCAAATCTTAGCGGATTGAATTCGTTTGCATCAGGACCCCATAATTCCTTGCTGTGATGAATAATGGCTATCGGAATTATTATGTCCATGCCTTTTGGTATCATCAGGTTACCCAGTTTTATATCCTTACGTGCTGTTCTAGCAATTACAGACACTGGACTGTATAGCCTCAAGACTTCAAAGATAACCATTGTCATCTGCAATAATCAGAACTTCAAAATATTTACGTAGCGAAGCAACAATGCAAGACATGTTTAAATATATTATAATAGAGGTTGTTCTCCGCTTGCCAAAATGACTCTGTTAAAAGTAATGTTTTAGTAAAATAGAAGAGCATTAACAAGAAATAAATGGTTGTTTTCACTATTGTCAATTGTTTTAGTATTATTTGTACGGGGAAAAATATATTAATACTGTTAAAACATGGAAGAAGAAAGTTTAAAAAAGATCTTTTTACCAATTTGAATTTGGTAATTTTATCTGGATCAGGAATTTGCTTTCCACATTCACTAAGCACTTCTTCTCTAAGCCTTTCCTGCCAATCCTGGTGTGTGCTCAGCAAAAACATTGTCCAGGTTAGTAAATGGGAGGTGGTTTCATGCCCAGCGAAGTAGAATGTCTTGCACTCATCTATAATCTCATCGATGCTCAAATTTGTTTCTCCTTGATTTCCTGTATTGCAAGCCTCCATCATAAGGCCAAGCAGATCATTTCCATAACCTTTTTCCTTGGAAGCTAATCTATTTTCTATGATGCTCATAAGGGTTCCTCTCAATTTCTTTTCAAGCTTCCATCTGTGCTTGTTATTTTCTGTAGGAAGATACCTGAAAAAAAGAAGGCAAAAGAAATATGTATGGCTATTTGAAGGCCGAGATAGAAGCAATTCATTGAGTGGAAAAGTTTTAAGTTACTTCTTTATAGGAAATTCTAATTTAAGAAAGGAAGCTAGAACGATCATTATAAGCTCTTTTTGTGCAAGAAAGACTTCTTTTCCAGCAGAATAGCTACTTCCAAAGGCTGTATGTGAGATAACATCAGCAGTTAGTTCCTGTAAATACATCCCAACTTCTACTTCTTTCTTGTCCTGCCACTGATCAAGCATTGATTTTGCACAATCTGCCATTGTTCTTGTCATTGTCTACACGTCATGACACCAAATATAAGTTTAAGGATAGACGAAAAAATACGATTATTTATAGAATGTTGTCAAATGATTAAATTAGCGCTTTATGAAAAAATGATGAAATAAAAATAATGATGATATTTGTACAATATGGCGACAAAAAATGCCTCTAAGATCAAAGCACCAACTGTTCTCAAAACAATTTAATTGTTTTCACTCCAGGTCGGCTCGCCCCAACTCATTAGCATTTCCCCAGCTTATAAGAAGTCAGATCCTCACTAAAGGCATTTGTCTAGTGCATCCGGACCAGATGTGTGCATGACAGCTCAGATTGCACAACGCGCTGTGAACAGCGACGTGGTACAATCCACACCTTCATCTGTACGTTCGGACGAGGGCGGTAATATTTCTCCATCTTGCAAGCCCCCACTAATTTATTATGTGACTCTAGCTATCGGCAATGGAAACTTCCATTGTGCTTGCCTATGCAACAATCAATGTGCACATTTCTAGAATCTTGATCACAATATTAATCTGTATTGATTAAAAGTTTTTATTTATTATTCTTTTATGACTTCACGAAACACATGAGAACCTATAAATAAGGGCCAATGGAAGCATGTACTGATATCTATAGTTTTGTACGTTAAGCTGTGATGAATAGAATCCTCAGAGCTTCCATGTCAAGATTGACCCCTCTACATATATTCTCATAAGTGCTCCAATCTTATAGTTCTTACTATTATGAATAACATGGCATCGATGGTCAAACTTAGATTCAAATTCCATGCAATTAAGATAAGCGTAGTTTCATCTCAAGAACTGGAAATCATATGCTATGACTAGTTGATCACAATAACTAAGAAGCACCCTATGATTATGTGGCTAAAATGAAGCTAATTGTAAATATTGAGGAGATGACTACTCAAATGATTCAAGGTTTCTTAGAATAAACCTCCTCATATATCCTTAAGAGCAACTCCTCATATATCCTTAAGAGCAAAAAAAAAAAAAATAAAATATTTTACTACATTACTTTGTGAAAACATTGTGCCCTGCAACTTTGCCCTCCTTGAAGGGCATAGATGAGGCCTTTCATCCCAACAATGACAAAGTTCGTCCCCTCACCTATTCAAGTTCAAAGATGAGGATTGCAACTTATAAATATAATTTATAGAGAAATTTTTTTAGTGCATCTCCCCAAGTAAAATTTATAATGTTAGAACTGAAATTTATTGATAAGGGGCAAATTTCCTCAGTTATACGCCCTCGCTTGAGTTGGCTATATTGCTGCTAAACATTAAAGACATTATCAAGCATTGCTATTTCTTTAATACCTTCAACTTGTAACCACTTTAATGGTTCTTTCTTCTCCTACTAGAGTTCATTGTCTATTTTTCATGCTCAAAAAGTTATTTATCATCCAGTTTTTCCAACTCCCACATGCCAATTAAATCATGCAAATGATGCAAGTTGTTTTGAGGTTCCAAAAAGATATATTAGATATCAATATATATGAATACACATTTGCACAGGCTGCCCTCACTCATGGCTTGTGGAGTGGATATTATATAAATACTTGATGTACAATAACCTAGGACATTGGTTGAATTGCTTGAATTTGCTACTACTCACATAAATACTAAAGAAACTAATAATATGGCTTAACAATGTCCACAACTTTCCCTAAGTTACAAAGAACAATATATAGTTTTCAGAAAGCCATAGGCCCATGTTGTGATGCAAATTGCTCCAAAAAAATGGATAGCCAGTTGAGAGGATATTGAATAGGAGATCACACCAAAGCCATCACTATCAACAAGGGAGAACTCACCCGTTTGAAAGGTCACTTAGGATCACTAACTTATTAGCTTTTTTTATGTGAAAAATAAAAGTCTCCAAGCAATGGATTTATAAAGAGCTTTTGCTGACCAACATTTATCAAATTGTTAAACCTCTATGATTTTTTGTGACAAACTAATGGAGGATATCCAAGATAAGGACTACTTTGAATAGCCATTTCTAAATAAAGTAAGAGTACATCTGGGGGACATATCTACTATTAAATCCATAAAAGCTATGAGCATGACACTGAGAATTAGTAGCAATTAGGAAACATGATAGAATTGTTGATTAAGGTTAAGAATCCGAAGTACTTTATTTTGGATAAAATTATAAGGACAAAGAGATAATAAGTAGAAGAATAGAAGAATTGCCTTAGTGAGCTCGTTTAAGATTACACAATATCTGCGGACTGCCGCAATGCATTTTACCAAAAATCATAATGAGGCTTATGCCTCATTGTTTAAATCGTAAGGGTATTCTACTTCTTGGATTTAGCTAGTGTCCAAAAACTTCTTTATTTTTTCTTCCAGAGTTGAGTCTACTGTTCAACATGTAACATGTGATAGTTGATGTTGTTCTCTACCACATCCATTTTTTCAGCAAAATAGTTAAATTCATCTTGGTACTCACATAAGACAGCGATCAAATCTTTTCTTGAACCATGCATCAAAGAGAGTGCTTAGTTAGAATAATTCACATGGTTCTATTTTAGTAAAAGTAACATTCTTAAGGACCTAATTCTTATTAGTGCTACCCCCTCATTATATTTTGAGTTGCAGAATCTTTTTCTACTTGCTTCTCCCTAATCATAGTTTGCAAGCATGTGATTTCTCCAATTCTCTTGTGATGGTTATCACTTCATCACTCCTTTGGAGTTTTATGATGAGGTGGTACATAGAGATGATTACTTTGAAGATTTAGAGTAATTGGCATCTAAAAATGGCATTATATGTTTCCATGGGGTTAAACCTAGCCATGAGCTATTTAAACATTTCCTCAAGTGATGGGGATAACTATTATTTCTAATAGTTTCTTCTTGAATAGAAATTTGTAAAGTGCACTAGAAATAGATAAAAAATTGAAAGGAATCCTTAAATCAATAAGGATGTTATAACTATTGCACAGTGATAACTATTGCATCATTATAAAGGTTATCCATAGTGGATAAATCTTCTTCATTAAAGGTGATGGGTGGCTAATTGGACATTCAACACCAAGAAAAATATCGAAGCATTTCTCTTGAGTGATTTCATTTAAGGCTTGCCTAGTGCGATGCCTCAATATTATCCCTAACATGTATGGTTGGAAAGACCTCGGGATGTTGATTGCATGGGTCTAATCTGGGTTGTTATTGGTCTCTTTGCCCAGCAATTTTACTTATGTCTAAACCACTACTTATGATTCTGCAAACTCCTTCAACTTTCCAATAGTGATCAACTGCTCAATCAAACTTTGGAGGTGATCACACTAAGTTTCATAGCAATTATCACACTAGTAGGCACAGTACCTTTTTGGAACATGTTATCTTGCTACTTTTATAGGCATGTGCTCAAAGAAATATTCATTATTTTAGATGACAATTTAGTAAGAAAAAATGAGAAAGAGAAAAATAGTTGCCTTTGTTTTAGTATTTTTCTTAAGTATAGAGAAATTTATTATAGAAAAACAAATTTGAACTATCAAAATTTTATTATAGAGAAATTTACATATATACCACACAATTCTTATGCATTTACATATCTAACATCTTAAATTTGATATTTACATTTATAATGTCGTGATATTAAAAGTTTATGCTTAATAAGATGTATCACTTTTAAAAAGCTAGTGATAGTGATATTTTTGATGTGATGTCAAATACTTGAGTGTTTTAAATTAGAAAGTCTTAAGTGTTAGATATGTAATTATATAAGACTTGTGTGGTATATATGTAAATGTCCACTGTTTTTTGACCAATCCATGAGCAAATATCAATGTAGGTTGTTATCAAACACCCATAGTTCATGGACAAAGAGCTCGTGGCCATTCATTTTTTTTGTTCATGCACTAATATCTTCTGCACGCCTCCTACCAGCTTCATCCCTTCTTCAAAAGATATCAACATCCCTTCTGCTCTTGGACGCTAGGATTTCAGCCACCAAGGTTGGACTATGATTCTCCTCCCCGATATTTCCTTCTTCCCTTCTTCTCCCATCACATCGTCGAGAGCAATGAATTGCTCGAGTGCCTGATATGAAGTATCGCAATCCTCTCACCTTTTTTTACCTTTTCTACGTAAATTTATATTTTATGTGTATGTTAGCCCCTAACAACAAAATCATGGAATGTTAGTGAAGTTCAATAGAGTGCAGAAATGTTGTTTTCAGCATCATGGCACCAAGGATAAGCCCCTAAGTGAATTTTTTTTAAGATAGCTCGATGCCTTAGCGCAACGCCTTTCCACCACCATAACACCCAAACTCACCACAGTGTTGGTCAAGATAGGTAAATGAGATAGAACTAGCTTCATTGTGCCAGTATCTTCAACACTCTACTGCCATCAACGCAAGCCTTAGTGATTTGGAGAAAGAGAAAACTAAGCAACAACACCATAAACCCAAGAGTCATAGCACTGCCAGCTAGGGCCTCATTTTCAGACAAGGAGAACTACAATTTAGAGCTAGTTGCACAATGTAATAACAACAAAACTATGATGCAAGGACCCCTAAGAAAATAAATATTTATAAATAAATTTCAAATTCATTGAGGGAAGAGATTTGTGAGGGTAAGAATTATAAAAAGGGAGTGTTGAGACTGTGAGTGTATTATTTCTTTAATTGGGTGGAGCAAAGAGAAGGATTCAGTGGAAGGGCTTGGGGTTTACAGAAATTACCAAGTTATAGCGTTTAATTTATTTCTTTTCTTATTTCAAACTTTCAAAACACAGTTTATCTTGATCAAATAGATTTGCTCTTTCTTATTTCTAGTTACACCATACTAGGATAATTTCACTTTCTCTTATGGATTTATGATTTTTACTTTAATATATTTGAATTATGTTTATATATTTTTAACTCTCAAAGTCAAATGTGAAGCTTTTTCATTTAATAATTAATATTTGTCATAAGTAATGTTTAAAATACAATTTATGTTTGATACATCAACAGTCTTTATTCACACAAGGTGACTCA